CTTGGTGCCAGCACGGGCGCCACTCCAGATGATCACGTACCCGTCGTGTGCAATTGAACCTTGCCCCTCTCGTCGGGTCTCCTGAAGTCCTATCACATCACAGCCGGTCGCGGAACAAATCTGCATGACCGTCATCACGTTGTGACCGATGGGGTTCCTACCGCTAGAGGCGAGCGTGCGTACGTTGAACGTGCCGAACGATAGGTCGCCCTCTCGTGCCTTCTTCTTCCCGGCCGCCTTGACGGCCGCTGCGGTCTCGTGTCTCTCTCGGTCCACCTCGCGTTGCGGGTGTCCTTTCTTCCGTATCTTCCGAGCGGCGAGTTACTCGCATCAATCCATCTCTGCACGGTTCTTTCCTGTGGTGTTTTAACGAGGAGGGTGCAGCACTCCCTGCCCGCGGTGCCCGCGGTTGTCTCCCTTCTCCCGCGAGCGGTGCTTACTGACGTGGTGTTTACGAATCTCTCTACTCCTCCAGCTTCGTGGGCCACGCTTTCCGCGACGGTGGTTGCTAGGTGCAGTTTGCCGCTTGGCATTACTGCCGCGGGAACAGTGTCCACACACACCCCTCGCCACTACCACCGTCTGTGCATCCTCACCGCCACGCTGAGCCAGCGCGGCGGTGAGTTGCACCTTGGGACACCACCCGCCTACTATCTGTTGTGTCCTGGTTCGCCCGCGAGGGACTCTGGTATGAAGGGGTGTACCTGCTTCTCGCTGTTGCTCATTAAGTTAACAATGATCACGCCGCCCCGTTCCACCAGTCAGTCCCGTGAACTATATCTTCGCCCTATAGTGAGCGTGCAATAAAAGTATGTTTGCCAAAAGTTACCGACCAAATATGGTCGAAGAACTTCAACTTTTCTCGCAACTTTATGCTCCCAAAAAAAGCGGTGTAACCTGTACTATGGCTTACTCCAACATTTATGTTTCGCGGACAGTTTCCAGATTTCCTCGGCCGCAATTCGAGGTTCTATGGTCTGCGGATGGATTTGCAATTTTCGAAGCAAGCTTTGGAGTGTACGTACACATGTTTTGGTACCTGTGTTACAGACCCAGACCGGGTGGCCTTTGCGAATATTTTGTTCACCACCTGCCGCTGGCGCTAGTAGTACAGAGACATAACTTGACGAATTTTGGTGCGCGAGGAAATTTCCTTTTCACTTAGAGGTCGTCGCTGTTTTGAAAGCCGGCTTTCGAGATTCGAGGACACATAGGTCCTGGGAGTGCGTGAGGTGAAGGTTTTGAGCAGTTACCGTGCCTGCCTGTCTGCTTCTCTCGCCGAAAAAAGTTGCCGATGTAAAACACAACAGAGTCTTGATCAGGTGCGGATCTGGCGCGGCTGATCGTGTCGTCGACATTACGACTGTAGCGAGGAAATTCTTTCACCCATCGAATTTGTGTCAACCAATGTGTCATCCAGCGACTGATTGCAGCAGGGATATCGACAAGACCGCACAGGGCGGTAGATGTGTTTGCTTGTAAGCGTACCGGTCGGAGTCAGTGGCCTCCAACTTTTGTTGAGGCAAGGTGACAATTCATGGGCCGGACAAAAACGAAACGTCTCCAGATACCAAAAGGGGGAGCTCAAGGCGATACATTGAAAAGGTCGCCATGAGGCCACACGTTACAATTTTTCGAAGAGAGAGAACGGAGTTTGTTGTCGTCCTCGTGACAATATTCAGGGAGAATAGATTACGCGTCGAGTGGGCTGGGGCGCAATCACCCGGTCTTCCACCGTGACCTTTGCCGATCAGAGATGCAACGTCTAGCAAACGCACGAAAAATGTCACACGCTCAATATAGACACTGAGGCCGACGCACGTGGTCTTCAAACACCACTTTGCTACTGCTGAGATATGGTACGACTCTCAATATGCTGCGAACTACATTTTGGGAAGAACCCGTCACCTCGATGTTGATGGCACACGTAGCTCAGGTCGCAAAGCCATTCAAGACTATCTTCTCGAGACGCGCGCAGTGGATTTACGAGCTAGCCAGTCACACGCCATACTCCTACATACAAACACCGCCCATCCAGTGCAGCCATTCATCGACCAAATTGCCCCCAACGCTACACCACTCTATTGCGAAAACTCGAGTTTGACCACGTTGCGCCTGCTTCAAATGAATCTACCAGACAACATAGGTGTGCTTTGGTGCGGGCACGTTCGCCAACCTCTAAAGCACAGGTGATGCGTAGCACGGAAAGATCAGCGTGGCCCATGTGACCTGCTGCACACAAAACTACCATGGTAGAGGGAGTTGGTCGATGAATCTCCGCACTCTAAGAAATGATCAATCTTGAGGATCATCGTTCTTACTGCTTTCGCACGGTGGCTTGTGTGTTGAGAACCAAACGGCGAGCGGCTCGAGATATCATCCAGACAAGCGAATATTGATGACAGACACATAGGCAGCTCACCGAATGATACCGACAGGTTTTCCAAGCAAGGGCACATGTTCTTGCCGACGCCCCAAATTTTTTGGTCTGGAGGTTGCCTTCACAGGAAGCCCACGACCGTGCGGAATACGTCCTGCGCCTCAACGTCCACCAGAAACGTTATGATGTCGCTCAACCCAGCACCTTTGGCTCCAGCTCCAACTCTACTGTTACCCCCGCCGTTGCAAGGCAACCCGTTCTCATATACTGTCGAAGAGCATTCCCTGCACCACCATCGGCTTTGGTGCTTTTCACACTCCTCTCCTCTCGGCCACCAAAATCGTTTGAAGAACTGCCCGTCTCGCCGCCGATCTCGAAACCGTTTGCCTCTGCTTTCGTTGTAGAGCGGGAACGAAGCATGACCAGCCAACACCGGCGGCGCCAAGCTCTGTCTGCCGGCGCACGGGCCAGCAAAAGCCGTACACGCTTGATCTCAGCTAGGAGGCAGGCGAAGCCACCAAGAACTACGAAGTGGAGCTTCGTCGCCGGTGTCTCGCCGGCATCGTCCAAGGCTGCTTCGTCCGCTCCCCATCGCAACAGCAGATCCACGACCAACTCTAGGCCAGGGGTCTTCCTGCGGCAAACCTCATGCAATGGCGTTTGCCCATCATTGCCGGAGGTGTTAACGTCAGCTCCATGTCGCAAAAGCTTTAAGGACAGACACATGACCATAAAACGTAGCGTTGTCGAGTGCTGAGAAATCATTGGTATCCACAACGTAAACATTGGCACCAGCCTTCAGGAGAGTCTCCGCAACGGCCAAATGCCCCTCGTCCGCTACTCACATCAATGCCGAATCGCCGTCCCTATCAAGAGCATCCTTGTCGCCCCCCGTGAGCAATAAGGTAGAAACGATCTCAACGTGCCCTCCTCCGGCGGCTTCATGCAGGGCAGTTGCACCAAATGCCTTACAAGGTCGGTTGGGGTCTGCACCACCGATCAACAAGTCGTTCACCAGTCGTTCGTGCCCTCCTTCCGCGGCCTTGTGCAAGATGCCACACTTGTCCAAGGGGTCCTCAAACTCTGCATCCGCCCCAGCGAGAATCAAACGTCTCGCCGCCTCTACGTGGCCGCATGCTGTTGCCGCATAGTCTAGAGGGCTGATCTCTTCTTCGGCGATATAGGCACAACCTTCACGTCCGGCCGAGCTCCTGCGCGAAGTAAGGCCGTGATCACGCCCGCGCTTCCTCCGAGAGCAACCGCGTTGAGCAGAGTGCGATCTCGACACCCCCTCCACCCCGCGCTCCCGTCCGCGCCAGACTCGATCAGGATGTTCACGAGATCCAGGTTGCCACGGGCAGCGGCGTCTTCGAGAGGCACCCGAAGCCACTCCGCCCACTGCTTGGCAGTTGCCGCGTACGAAACGAGCTTGAAGGCCCTCGAGCCCCTGAAGGGACGCGCGCTTGGGAAAGAGGTGCGTGAATACCGCCGTGTGTGCCATGTATACGTATGTGTATGATGGAGTGAGCAGCGAGCAGCGAGCAGTGAGCAGCAAGTCACCAGGCGCGAAACTCGCGTGAGATCGGGTGAGAATCTGACAGTCCCGCGGCTCCGTAGACTGTAAACGGCAGCCCTGTTTTTCGCGCATCCCCCGTTTGAAATTTCTGCTTTTTTGTCCCAGCACGTGGCAACTGGGAAGTGTACATGCACAGAGAGCACAGAGATTTCTGGGTTCGCGGAGCACAGAGAGCACCGCCTTCAGCGGTCACCAACAGCAGGAGTGTAGTCCCGCGGCGGAGAGACTAACAAAACCTATGTGTATTACCTCATGCGCATCTCTCTAGATACCTCCTGTGCCTGTGATGACGGACGTCGAGGAGAGAGCACTCGGCGGGAACCATGGGCGCCTGGTTCACCAGTTGATGCGCACCGCTGCCTGTGGATGTTGCAAACATTGACCATTTGCACATCGTCGGCACACGACACATGCATATTGTACGAAGGGTGACCGAAACGAAACGACGTTAATTGTAAGTGCTGGGGGGTCTGTTATCCACGGGGTAACAACGTATACTCCATGACATTCAGGCCACCGAAAACCAGCAGGGCCCAAGAGGGTTTACACGATTCAATAAATGGCCCTTCGTATTAGGCACATACTCACGCAAAATACTGCCTGATGTGGTACTGTTCGAGGATGCTCAACGCGAGAGAGTTTGTTTGGTGGCGCTTTTGTCGTGCTTTCAAGCACCATCCAAGAACTGTAGGGCACGGACTGGATACGTGGGGGACAGAGGTGCGCAAAAGGAAGGTTTGGCCTTGCTTGCACACCGGTATTCCGCGTTGCTTACTTTCGGGTCGAACACCCTTCGACGACGTCGTTCATACATTCAGGACCCGCTCCCAGGGCACGTCGCCTTTCTCTCCTCTACCCAAGCTTTTCCCCTCCGCCTCCACTGCCCACCCCCTTCCCGTCAACGTCCTCCTCCTCTATACTCTCCAACACTCTCTCGACCTCCTCATCGCTATAAATATACAAGCTCGCGGCGGCTGCTGCCACCCCCTTGCCCCCACTCCCCTCTACGGCTATTGTAGCAATCTCCATGCCGATATCCCCAAAATCTTGTCTCTCCCGCGGCTCCCCCGCTCCCTCTCCCTCTCTCTCCCCCGCTGCCGTCCAAATATCTCGCGATTTTCTCTCTCGCGCGCGCTCTCGGCTGAGCACCCTCGCGGAGAGTCGCACGGCCTCTCCGAGCCCCATGCTGCCGCTACTGGTGCTGCCGCCGACCGCCGCCTCCGGCCCCCCATTGGTGGCCGCCAACAGTTCTTCGTAGCCGGACGCTAGCTCGGCTGACAATCGCGAGGCTCCCGCCCCAACCGCGACGGCCTTGAAAGCTCCGAAGTTTCCTGGTTAATTGTGAACGATCCAGTGCGTTTAAGGGAATCTCGTGTGAGAAGAAACAAGTTCCTGAGTCGAAAATCAAGAACGCCATCACCGCCAATCGTTGTCGGTAAGCTACACTGATATAGACGTTACCAAGTAAAAAAAGCGCCGGCACAGGTGGGAAGCGATACGCGGTCTACGATACAGTCGGGCCTTGGACAGCCAAGTAAAATAAGAACAAAAAAGGGAATCGAAATACACGGGCAGTTTAACGAGAGCTTCACGGTCGTCATAAAGACGCATCGCGTTGAGGAAAGGCGGGGAGCAGGGATCCAACGTCGGCCGCGCTACACATGCCTGATCACAGGCTTGAAGATGACCCTACATCAAACCTACAAAGGTAAGTTAACACACACGGGATGCAAAAATAAAACACACTACAACAGAGCCCACAAAACAGTCACACCTTCCTCGCAGCAACCAGGTTGCATGTCGGATCAAGAGGGTCGACAACGGGGATCGATACACAGAGCCCACCGTTCCTACCCGACAAGTGAGCCAACATAATATTTACACATGCATTTAAGGACCACGAATGAAGAAAGTATCCCAAGTGTTTGTCAAAAATTGTTTCGGAGTCCGCATGACAGCTACGATACGTATGGACAAGTTCTTGAGAAAAAAGCTCACCACTGGGTTCTGTCTTGTAGAGTTGGAACCCTCTCGACTCGTCCCACCCTGCCAACAGCATCGACACGCCCCACGGCCGGAGTCCACCGTGCTGTGTGTACGCCTGCGTCAGAGTCACGCGCCGTTCGACAGCAGCGAAGCGCGGGCCGGATCGCACATGTGCATGTATGTGTGAACGGTCAGCGGCAGTGATGGTCTGCGGCAGTGAGAACCCACAAGACGAGAAAAAAAAAACGAAGACCAAGGAGACCCAGGGAAGAGAGTGCTGCGCTCTTCTCGCATCAAAAACCAAGGTAAAAGCACCGCAGGAGGGGTGAGTAGGGGGCTTCAGGAAGAGGAACCCTTCTGTGTGACCACGGGATTGAGCAAAAACGGCACACATGCTGTGAGCATTGATTTGAAGTGAAGACAAACAATAAAAGGACAACCAAGAAAAAAGCGTGCTCTACTGACTTTGTGGGTGGGAGCCTCCGGATTCCTACGGGGGGGGCGCGTGGCGATGAAGATCATCAACACCGTGGTCGCATCGGGAGGGCGAGCGATGGTCGTGGACGTGGCTTACACACCTGCTTCACGTCCGCGACGTGGGCAGCCAGCTTCTGGACCGGGATAGGCTCCTGAAACGTCAAGGAGTGCTGCTGGGCAGATACCTTCCACGGGCGGAGTGGGGCAGGGCAGGACGACAAGCAGGAGGGAGCACCGTAGTGGATGGTGTTGGGGGGGGCGGGGAGGGTGCTGCTGAGTCATGCTAAGTCATGTATTCCGAGGCATGGAATCGTTCGCTGGGTGCTTGGAAAAGGAATCTCTGCAATATCGCGGCGCCCTCTACGGTGTTAATTCGTGTTACGCAACACTAACCTATGGTATCTCATCCTAACCCTCCTTCCTTCGAACCGTTTGGTGCCACACTTCTCGTAACTATGAACTCGCAGCAGGGTGGTCAATAATACCTCAGGGTGTCTTCCACGGCGATCAAATATACTAAATCGATAAACAAACAAACGAAGAACCATGAATGTGAAGATGGAACCGTCAGCTCAAAGGCAGCATCTGCTCGGCCGTAGCTTGCTGCCGTCGGGGGGTCCACCATGTCGGGCCATCGCGACAAGCCGGCCGACACTTGTGGCGCACAAGAACTTAGTTAGGAGCTACAGAGGGAGGGGGGTGTACTCATAGTCGTGCATGCCGTAGTCGTTAGACCATTGACCTCGCATCCCTACAAAGCCGGNTGCTTACTTCCTTGCGTACGGATGACAGCTGCGTATGACTTAATATATTTTCTGGTGCTTTCACTTCCAGAGGCAGTTGTAATCACT